ATGAGCTCTCCTCTTCTTCCACCAACTATTTAAAAAAGCTCTGAAAATCCATTAGTGGGAAGTTATAATTCCCTTGGAATTTAGGGCCTGCTTCCCAGCTGAAAATCCCCTAACTTGCAACAAACTCCAATTGTTTGAGATGCTTATTTATTGGAGACAGCATTTCCAACACAGGGGATTGACTATAGAGAGAACAGAGAAAGCCAATTCCACCATTTTAAAACACTGAAGTAAAAATTTAAGATTTTGTGGTCATTGGGATAATCTGTGTTTACTTTGTACGTAAAATCTTTGTGTTTCTTAACATAATCAGATCGATGATGTCAGACCTGGCAGGTTGATCATGCAAAATCAATTCAAAATTTGAATTTGGTAATTAATTTTATGCTTGTGATTTTTAGATTGAAAGACATAGGAACATTTTGCTAAATTTGTGTATATTTAAGAGGATTTAAGATTTAACATGTGGATACGTTTATTTTATTAGATTTATTGGATTTGCTGGAATAGTTTAAAAACTAGGGAGCGTTTTGTTTATTAGGAGGACTGTTTGAAGGGCTTCTCCAGAATTCACGAGTGCAGGTTAAACGTTTAAAGGACTTTAAATCGTAAATGGAATAGATTATTTAAAGGAATTTAGATTATTGAATTTAAGTAGGTCAAATAATAATTAAAAGTTTAATGGAATATTATTCATTAGAAAACCTTAGAAAGGAGTGAAATTCTGACATGATAATATGGATAAACCTTGAAAACACTATGGTAAGTAAAGTAAATCAGACACAAAAGAACAAATACTGTATAATTCCAATTATGTGAGGCACCTAGAACAGGTAAATATGCAGAGATGGAGAATAGGACAGAGGTTCCCCTATGTGCCCCCCGTAAATGTTCCCCTTATAACTGCTACCCCCCCTTCCCTGCCCCCCCACAATCCCGCAGCAAAGACCGCCGCAGTGCCCTCCCACCGCCTGCTGATCTGATGTCCACAGGGGGGTGTTTGCTTTGGACGTGTAAGATCCCCCGTCCATTAAACCGCGGATGTGTCTGTCACTGACTCTGGGCTCCTCCTTCCATCAGGGCTCACAGGCTTATGGGGTGCAGATCAACAACCCTCAAACATCCATGTACTGCAAGACTCACGAAACAATGAGCAAGTTTCTATTTTGAGGATCATCCAGGCCTCTTCTGTTTTCTCTCCTTCCCCTGGTGCCCGACCTTTGGGTCATTCTACTTCTCTAGGGCTTCTCAAGACATTACAAAGTGAGGACGGGAGACTTGGAAGTTAACACTCAGACTAGTCAGTTTCTCTCCTTTTGTTTCTCTGTTAAATTCGTAGAGGTTAGGGGTGATTCTTATTTCCAATTCACATCATTGCTATGGGGATACTACCTTATTCTATTAAAAGGAATTCCTGGGAAGACAGGCAAATACATGAATGCTAGCCTGCAGGAAGCCTCAAGGACAGCAGAGACATGGAATGTTCTTCCCAGAGTCAGGCATCCTTCCAATGAAAAGTTCCCCAAAAGTATATTACCAGGGGTCAGATGGTTGCATAAAGAGCTATTTTAAGATGTTCAATGTAAAATATTGAACCTACATCTGGGGAGTTCATCTCCTTTACAAAAACTAGCACTTAGGGTTTTCAATGTACATTTTTCCTGCCATTCATACACAACTCAGACTGGCCTTCATGAGCTCAAACAGATGTCCCAGTTGCAATTTGCAACCTAATATCAGAAGTAATGCTAGCAACGGAGCCTCTGAAAAAGCCTGGCAATGTTTATACATGTTAATAAACAATGTTTATACATCTTTCGCCTCCTCTCCACACTTCCTTGAATTAAAACCTTTCTTTTTAGTAAGTCTAACAAGGTAGTAACAAGCCCACAAGTACGTTTTCACCAGGGGATGGTTCACAAACAAGATGCTGACGTGTTTTTACGACTACAGGTTCCAGATGTCCTGGTCTCACCAAAATGTTCATAGAGGTGGAGAGATATTAAAAAAAGAAATAAAAAAATGAAACAGATATAAATAGGCTTATTCATTAGAATGAATGATGGAAAGTATTGACCCTGCCCAGCAGTACCCTTCCTTTTGTGAGCTTTTTATTTCATTGTCTGACCTGCAATCATAGTCTTTATAGGAAATAGTGAAAGAGGCTGAGAGGTAACTAAGAAGCTGAGTGCCTGGAAATAAATGTTTCCTCAAGCATTTATTACCTTTCAGAAATGTCCATCAGCTGAAATGTTAGTCCCAGAGAACCACTTAAGCAGTGCAGAGGAGAAGCGGGTAGTTATTAATTTTTAAGGCTGGCTGACAGCTTTCAGTCCAAGAACAAGGCTTAACTTTGCATTTTGAATAATGCAGAGATTTTCATTAGTCAGAATAGAAATCGAAATGATGAATGATACACTGTCTGCCAGAATGCTGTGACATTGTATTATCTGTTTGCAGTTACCGTTCAGAAGAAGCTTTCCAGAAGTATGCTTAGGCAAATTGGAAGGCTACCGGTATTGTCTGCTTATTTTATGTTTAAAGTTTGTAAAAACAATTTGAAGGATGCGTCTTCTGACTGTGGGTTGGTAATGCCATACCCGAAGGCCCGTCCGTTATTGCACCTGAAAGCTAAGTGCTGGCACAAATTGTACTGGTCCACGAGATCATTGCAATTGGTTTCAGGCACTTATTTTTGCTCAAATCTGCCTTCTGAAGATTCTGGGACAATGTAATTACCAACTGCACTTTGAGTCTTACTTCTTTCAATAAAAAATGTAAAATTACCCTCCCTTGAGAACTATCAGACTAAAAGGTTTGTGATTGCTTTTCTCTGTCATCTCTCTTCCAGCAGATTATCATGTCAGGTTGGTCTAGGGCATATTAACTTCTTTTGAGCACCCAAGACCCTTTGGCTCTAAGTATTATTTGAATTGATGGCAACAAAGCTACTATATTCAGATGTCTCTCGGTAACTTAATGTATGGCCCTAATAACAAACGCTAGAATTAAACAGTAATAGAATAGGCTGCTAGCAGCCGCTTCAATGCCGGTTTGATGGGCATTAAAATAGCTGATTCAGAAATTTCTATAGAGAAACTTAAGCTACTTAAAGACTGTAAAGTCAATGAAACTACAGTATCTGCCAGTAACAAGACAATCCACATACACTGACATTATTACTCTGAAAACAGGCTGATGGAAGGTCAAAAATCTTCTACCCAATTTAGATGAGCCTTTTGTTCTGCATGTCATTTTGTATTTCCAAGTTTTGTTTAAAATCACAAGCCTCAAGGAAAGTCCTTTATATATTTATTCTACTAGAGAAAAATAAGACTATTGATGAATCCGTCTGCCCTCTCACTATAAGGTAGGATGAAGCATTAGCATCGTTTGAGAGCCTCCAACCAGTTCAGTGAGGAGAAGAAGAAAGAGGACCCTTTAGGTACCTACTCGAAAGTGCCTGATAAGGTATTCAGTGGGGATTTATCCATCAGTGTGTCATTGTGGTGGAAGTATTTATTTAGCCCCAATTCTAGTCCTTTTTTTTAGGTCCCAATTCCAGTTGAAATTGCTCAGGCTCACCCTCAGCTGGTTGGTTTTTGGCTGCTCAGGCTGTCTTAGCCGTGCGTTGGAAGCACATTGCTGATTTTCTGTACATTAACTTTGTCAGATTGTGGAACTACGAATGGAACACCTGAAAACACACTTTCCGAAGTTAACTTCATAGTCACAAGGGTTGTCATTACAATCGCACTTTTGAAATGCCAGAAAATTTCCAGCTCATTTACCATTAAAAAAAAATACCGCCAAGCAAACACAAAGGAGATGATGGGGTATGTTTGCCTGATGAGTTTCATCTCAAGGTTTACTATTTCTTTCAGTTGCTTAAATAAAGCCTCATTGTCAGCTGGATTCCAGGTCATATACCAGACACTGTTCCTATTTGGTGGCAAGCACTCACCAGACCCTTTGGGAGCTGTGTTCTAGAAAGAAGTTGTGATGGCTGGCTAGACACTTACCTTCATTCTGTAAAAAAGAGTCAACTCTACAACCCAGACCGTAATCACAGCGATAGAGCCAAAACCCCTGGGATGGTTGGGTGTGCTTTGCTTATCTAATAATAACTTCCTTTCAAAAAGCAAATTAAACATTTTCTGTAGTATCGCACTAGCCCAGAATGGAGTTGTGCCAGGAAGTGCCTTATGCATTACCAGATGCACAGTAAACGCCAGGCATTAACCTGTGCTGCTAAATCTCCACCATATAACTTCAGGTAATTTGTCTGGTTTTTTTTTTTTTTTGAGTGTTCTGCTAAAATGTGACTACTTAGCTTTTTATCATTCCATTAATTCTTTTTCAGTATCTCTTTTTTGGGGGCATGGGAGTTAATTAGATTTATTTATTTATTTTTAGAGGAGATACTAGGAGTGAACCCACGAGCTCGTGTGTGCTGAGCACGTGCTCTGCCACTGAGCCATACCCTCCCTGACCAGCAACTCTTGTTTTTTTTGTTTATTTTTTTTTAACATCTCTCATTGAAGGCTGTCATTTTCATTTTCTCGGGGCATTTTATGTCATTTACAGACATGTAGTCATTGGCAGACTATATTGTTGCACTGATGTCATCGTTATTAGTCAGATTTCAAAATTCTGCAGCCAGCATGCTTACAACTGGTGATGGATAAAACAACTCTCATTTTTCTACCTGGAAGAAAGTTTAGTCTCTGATGAAAAGTTACTGAGATGATACAACAGCAGGTTTTCAGCGTCTGTGTCTCTGGGCATCCTCCCACACCCCTTGGACTGAGAACTTTAATACTTAGTGCCACCTTACTTGTGAGCAGTGTACCTTACGAGTGTCTGGTTGTAACTTTACTACGCTGATTTCAGTCATTTAAAATGCCAAAGAGAAAAGATTATCATCGCCCTGTAATGGTTAGTTGTGGAAGCAGTATCTCATCTAAAATAACCCCACAGGTAGACACAGGTGTACTTACAGGTGTCTTCTTCTTCCATGAAAATACTGATCACATAACAGGCACACACAAAACCAACCAACTGCAAAGGAGAGAAAAAACACCTTAAAAATCTAGGACAGGTGTCCGTGATTAGAGAGCCTATGTAACCGACAGATGAAGAACACACAGCAGTATCACCCATCAATTTGTAACAGGAAAAAAAAAGTTAAAAATTTTTTATGCTACTTAAATGTTTTAAAAGAACAGCTGTGATTTTAAAGAAACTTTTCATTTCTACTTGGCTTTAATAGCTTTCTAAAACAGTACAGAGAAAAGGGAAAAACTGTAGATGTTTCACTTAGGTTTTGATTTGGGGTTTACAGTTTTTATATTTTAAAATCACCACAGATTACTCAGAACATACATTTTAAAGTTTTGACTATTTATAGAGCAATTTGTAGCAACCCTCATTATTATTACAGTGTTTAATTTTTACAATTTTAATGTTTAATAACCACAAAGGGAATCAAAATATGTTCATTGCAAATTAAATACCAATCATTTACTTAATTATTTAAAATGCTCTGAGAATGTAAATTCTTTTTAAATGCTAAACTGTTTTGTTAACTAGATCATAAGGAAAGGCATTATCTTTCACGTCATTCGTCATAACGTTGAGAGAGAAGAGATAATTTACACTTCTGGTACTAACGGTTAAAAGAATAAATTCAAGGGCCAGGTTTCTGGTTTTTCCCACTGTTTTCTGCACTTATTCTGCTGAGAAGATGACTTTCATTCTATGGAGACAGAGACACTGCAATTTCTGGAGGACAAACTTGTCCATGAATCTAGTCTAGTCCAAAATTACTCCAAGTACTTTGATGAAAAAAAAGATACTTCAAAATAAGGTATAAAGTCTGTCCTCTGCCCTTCTTCCCTGCACATCTGCAAGTTGAAGTCAGACCCAAGCTGAGGAGGAGAGTTTTTAAGTGGATGAGAGTTTGCACTGGCCTGGGCTGGACTTTTAAACATCTACAAGGGACCAAAAGACCTACAGGTTCTGCCTGAAATGTGACCCAAAGGGTGAGACAAACTACAACTATGGAATTGAAGGGCTGGTAGAAGAAGGAATAAAATTGCCTTTTGATGATATTCTACTAAGTCCAGTTCATTCCATAAACCAGTTGCATAGAGAAGAAAGAGATGGCCCATGAGCCTATAACTAAGAACTTTCTAAGGGATTTTTTGGCCCAAGTCCTTTATATTATAGTTGGTGAATATCCCAGTTACGTTCTTACGACCCAAGTCAATACTTTTCAGAAGCTTATTAATAGCTACTCAAATTTGCACAATTTAAAGTTACTGTAATGCATTTAAGCAATCTCCTACTATTGAAAGTTGTTCTCCAAGTTTCTATATTATAAATACTATTATAATGAATAATAATGCCTTTCCTATAGTTTGGATTTTCTGATTTCCAGAGATGCCATCAATATTTTATGCCTTTTTTACACATTGTTAAATTGCTTTTCAAAAGGTTTGTTTTATCTTTTACCCTACGATAGCACAGAATGACAGTGCTTGCTTTGTCATGGCCTTAGTAGCATAAGATTTTTCATTTAAAAAGTATATGCCAGCATAATAGACAAAATGACAGCTCTTCATTTATTTCATTTGCAATAGATATATTTCACATGGAATATTTTCATATTTTGTTACCCACTTATATTTTTTCTATTCTGAATTATCTGAAGAAGTCCCTTTTCTATTTATTAACTTCATGCTATTTTCATTAATTTGTATGAATCCATATGGGGTTTGTATACTGAGCCTTTGTTATATTTGTTGTAATTTTTTTTTCTCTTTATCTCAGCAAGTGATAGTGATGGCTTCATAACTGAGGGGTGTTTTCTTAGTAAACTGTATATTGGAAGGCATCTGCCAACAAGTAACTTTCTGGTTTCTTAGCAGGACTCTGTCTTAGGGGTGTGTGTGTGTGTGTGTAACTCAAGAACTTTCTTGTATTAACTCTGATTGCTGCTGTAATAAATTACCACAAATGCAGTAGACTAAAATAACCCAGATTTATTATCTATAGTTCTGGAGGTCAGAAGTCTGATAATGGTTCTCATTGGGCTACAACCCAGGTGTTAGCAGGACAGCACTCCTTCTGGAGTATTTTTGTCTTTTTCAGCTTCTAGAGGACGCCTGCACTCCTTGGCTTGTGATCCCATTTTTCCACCTTCAAGGTCAGCAACCTTGAACTGAGTCCTTCTTATGCTGCCATGTCCCTGGTTCTCCCTCTTCTGCTCCTTGTTCCACTTTTAAAAACTCTTGTGATTACATTGGACCCATCTGGATTATCCAGGATAATTTCCTCATTTTATGGTCACCTGATTAGCAACCTCAATTCCCTCTGCAACCTTAATTCATTCCCCTTTGGAGCTTAGGCCATTATTCTGCCTGCCACATCCGTGCACTTGTATTTTAGGTTCTCTGTAAACCTCTGCACAATTTAAAACACAGTGAAGAAGGAGAAGTGATACTGAAGAAATTATTTACATTTTAATGTATGAAGTAAAATTATAGCATCCTGATTAAAAAAAAAAGACGAACTACAGAGACATGAATTTGGAACCAAGTATTATCAACACAGATCCTGTTTCAATCACAGTAATAAATGTACAAATGTAATAAAAAGTTCTTGGAATTGAAAGAACATTTATAATTGCTAATATGCATATTTTGCTTATCATGTGCTGAATAGTGTTCTAAGCTCTTCTCATAATAATCCACATAACCCTCAAAAGAAACCTAGCAAGTAGCTGCTGTGATGATCTCATTTTAGAGATGGGGGAACGAAGGCAGCAGAAGTTCAATGACTTACCCAGTGATGGGCACCCAATGTAATTAGCTAGTGAGAGGCAGAACTGGGGCTCAAACCCAGCCTGTCATTGGTAGTGTTTGCCTGTGAACGTTTTCCTCTTACAAAAAGAAAAATAAAATAAACAGTCCATCAAAACAAACAAAAAAAGTAATTTCAAAATAAAGTTTCAGGCTAACTTCTGAGTGTGAGTAAGGTTGTGACAAGGTTTAGTGTTGTATTGGCCGTCCCCTCCCTCCCAGCGAGGGTCTGCAGACCCACAAGGTTGCTGAATTGTATCCCATATCAGAAATGATTATCTGACATTAATTAATAAAGGGAAATGCAGGTCACGAGAAAACAACTTGAAAGGAAACTTCGAGAAGTTACTTTGCACATTAATCCGTTCCTCTCAGGAAATGCCATCTTCTAATATTGGGGAGAAAACTTCTCTCAGAAATCCGGTGTCTGCACCTCTAGTCTGTGTTTTCACACTTTTGCCATAAATGTGTATCGACAAGCAGAACATAATTATTTCAAGTAGTTCTGATCTCAAATACACAGTTTCCGGAACAATTTAAATTTTGAAGATATTGTCTCTTTAATTTCATTAGATCATCATTGTTTCCACTTTGTACTGTAGCCGACAGTTTTATATGAGGAGGAAGGTACATGTCAGCTCTGCCATTAAAAAAAATTTTTTTCCATGCCTGTGTCCGTAATTTGTTTTATTTTCCACCCATTGATTCTTGGAGGAAAAGTTCTAAGCTACACGATCATTTTCTGAGCATTAGTCTTCTGAAAACTAGGCTATATAATCTGTAAACCTACTTACCTAGCACATAAGTTAAATCTTGCAAATCATTATTTTTTCATCTAAGTAGGTGAAAGATAAGCCAAATGTTATTTATTTATTTATTTATTTATTTATTTATTTATTTATTTATTTATTTATTTTTTAATTGATTTATAATCATTGTACAATGTGTCAAATTCCAGTGTAGAGCACAATTTTTCAGTTATGCATGAACATATATAAGCCGAATGTTTTGACTGAGTGCCACAGGACTTTTTAGAATAAAGCTAAGGCCGTCACGATAGCTCAGTAGTACAGTGAATATTATTTTTCTACTTTCCTAATAGACTATAAATCTTTAGAAAAACATATAGTACTTCTACCTACACCTTTATGTTGATTTGAAGTAAGAGAAATTATTCTTTTGTCTTCATTGTTATCTTTTGAGGTGACAATGGTGTATAAAGTGCAGACTAGCATATTATTAGCCTCTTTGACAGGGGACGTATTTTGGTGTCTTCTAATATTAGCTCATTCCACTTGGCATGCTGGGTCCATCAGCATTTACTGGTTGGCTCATTGGCATTTACTGGAAGAAAGGCCAGAGGATTGATGAGAAGGACTCTTGAGAGCAAACTCAGTCAACTCAATGTTGAAGCGCTGTTTTCAAACATCAATATGTAGAGTTAATTTGATAGGGTTGAAAAAATCCCATCCTGAGAGAGAAGTTTTAACTGAAAACTAAGTCTGCCTCACGCTCCTCTGGATAAAATGTCTGGAAAATAGTCATTGTTAATGGCTGTCCCATAAATTGCTTTGTGACTTACTTATACATTTAAAGATACAAATCTAAGCAACCCATATAAGGTAAAATTTTTGTGTGCATGGCAAACTTTTTAATGATTCTAATACAAGTTTCCTTCTAGGTTAAAAAGAAAGGGGTTGACCAGATGGCTAACACTAAAGACCAAATGTGAGTTAGGTAGCCCTGATCTCATCATTTGAGTAAGTGCAGTGGAAATTCAGGGAGAGGTTTGGGGTTAGGATGAGACACTGAGCAAGTTAAAAGAACTGCGTAAGAAGATGATCATGGATGTACGTTTATAAAGGCAAAAGGGCCCAGCTCATTTGAATAATTTTTTTAAAGTATGTTTTTACTCAAGTTTCATTTATCTTGTATTTCTTCCCTGTGTTTTAGGACCATGGATTATTTTGAAATTATTGTTAACTCTGAAAAGATTAATTGTCTATGTACTGAAGACAGTTGGTCAATATGTTTATTTCTCTTTTTCCAAATGAGTCTTTTGACTAACGGAAAGTAAAATCAGCTTCTTTTTTTTTTTCCTTTTTCTATGCTATCTGCCATTTATTAGTACTTTGATAAGAGAAATCCAGAGTCCACCACACTACTCGAGGGGTTCTGGAATTCTGGGCTCTCTCTTAAGATGAAGGCTGCAAAGCTCCAGTTTGTTGTACTAAACTGGGTTTGCCCAGGAGGTAAACCTACAGCTGGACCAGCAAAGATGCTACGGGAGGAACTCTATTCTAACTGGGCCTTGTTGGTGAGAGATACTGACAGAGAGAGTGGAAAGAATAGCTGGCTATCTCATCTTCATCAGGAAAACTGTACATTTCCATGATTTGGGCTATGTCATAGGCATCAGAGTACAAAGCAGGAACTGAGGCCACCAGCCTCTCCAACTGAGGATCTTGGATTTGGACATCACTTGTAGGACTCTCAGTGAGGATAGAGTCCCCCACCCAACTGAAAGGGCCTAAGGGCTGAGGTGAGAAGGAGCTACAGAAATCTGAAACTGTTGGGGGGAATAAATGAGGACTTGATGCTGTTGACACGTTCTTGGCTGGAAGGATCTGGTTTGGTGGCTTCAGTGATTTCTGTTGCTGCTGCTGCTGCTTCCTCATTTTGAACTGCCTATTCCTGAACCAAATCTTTACTGTTGAGTCTGGTAGGTTGAGTTTTAAAGCAAGTTTTCTCTGGAGATTTTTATCTGGAAACATGTTGCAGCTAAACAGAGCCTCCAACTCTTTGTGCTGTGTTTGGGTAAATGAGGTGCGTTCTTGATGCTTCTTCCATTTCTTGGGACCAGCCAGTAACTGTGAATCATCCTGGGAGTTCATGCTGGAATCATCCACACAGATAAAAGGATCTGGCTGGGGGTTCTCTTGGGCCATTTTGTTCATCAGGGGTGCTGACATCTGGCAAAGAAAGCCTGTCATAAATTCCCTTGGATTGCCTATTTTCAAGACTTCTTGATGTGTTTCTCTGGAAATGCAATTCCTTTAGTGTCAAAATCAGCTTCTTAATTATAGTGACACCAGGCTTCCCTTCCCTATTCAGTGAATTTTTTGTTGTTAATGAAATGTGGGACCAACCAGTTTTAAAATGACAGAGCAATGCACAGCAACAGAAAAGTTGTCAGATCCAATTGTTTACTAATGGACTTTAATAATATCTTGATAGATGAAAAGAAAGGAATTTTGGCCAAGTAACTGAAATGTACAATGCCATTAGCTGGAAACAGTCAGATAAAGACATGCCATCCTAGAAATATTAGATCATTGTCCAGGCTTTCAAACAGAATTTGCCAGCCATAATCTCAATATTATAACAAATGGATTAATTAAAATATATCCTTTTACTTTTGCTTTATTGATTGGTATTCTAATAAAATATTTATGGCCAAAATTACTTTTGCTATCATGATTAACCAAAATAGCTGTTTAATTAATAATGTTATTCTCATGAGAACGTGTCTAGACATCATGTTAATCACTAATTTGTAGATGGCTGACTGTTGAGTAGTTCTTGGTTTCCCAGAATATGAGTTGAAAGAGTCCCTGTGGCTTTCTGCTTATCTCCAAGAAATGGAATAAAATGTGTTCTTGCCAATAGCAAAGACACACAAAATAAACAACAGCAGGGTAATAACCCTGATTACATCTGCTTTAAATAAGGGTTTGAAAGAGTCATTCATTTTAAAGACACCCATTTTCTCATCCATTAAAGCCGTCCATCTCTACAGTGATAATGTTTACACAATTTTCTCCTCCGTACTGTAAATTCTGAGGGCACAGGTTCCATCTTTTTCAATATGTTAAATAGATGCAAATGGCGAAAGATTAGATTCCAACACCCTTTTATGTGAAGGGATGGATTCGTTTTTATAAGTAGGATTCATTTTTTTTCTAATTGAAGTATAGTCGGTTTACAATGTTGTGCTAATTTCTGGTGTACTCCAGTGATTCAGTTTTATGTATATATGTATATATGTATAATATAAAGACCCACATATATATACATATATTTACATCTTTTCATTATAGGCTATTACATGGTGTTGACTATAGCTCCCTGCGCTGTATACAGTGGGACCTTGTTGTTTATCTATTTTATATATAATAGTGTGTATCTGCAAATCCTGAACTTAAGGCTGATTTGTCTTGACCGCAGGCCTTGTGTAACGATTGATGGGAATCAGGTTTCACACATGCAGATGCTAGGATGACACATGCCTGTGTGTCCTGCCAATTGTGGGTCTTAGTAAGAATGAATCCAAAAAATGAGTCATCCCTAAGAGCCTGAGTGTCTCAAGGGATCAGTTTGGGGTGACGTGGATGGGTGAGAAGAGCCCATTTAGGGATTTCAGAGAGAGGAGCCCATTCCAGCATAAACTTAGGTGAGAGAGTTTGTGGGTCTGAGGGAAGCCAAAAGGATTCTTGAACAAAAATAACTCTCCAACTGCTCTTGCAAACTTCCCGGCATTCACACCAACAGCGAAGCCCTAAAGCTGAAGAGAACCCGTAAGGAATGACAGAAGTTTCTCTAGTTGACCCACAGGTTCTAAACTGCTTTCTGTTGGTTAATTTTTTCTCAAGTCCAAAATGACTTTGTACAAGTCCCGGCCAAAGCTGTCTCCGGGAGGCAGGCAGAGGCTGACACGCCAGGCTCTGTGCAGGGTCAGGTCCCTAGGAAAGTCATTAAGCGGAACGTCTGAGAGTAGGAAGCTTCCGTATGTGATTTATTTGGGTTAAGGTGTTAAGTTGCTTATAAAGAAGGCAGGGCTGCCTCCCGTCCAGAGCTGTGCAGCGTCTGGGGTTTCACTCCGCTTGTAAGCTAACAGGTCAGCCTGCTGGCCTTTCATGGACGCTGGCCGGAGACAAGGACGTCACCACTCACGGCGCAGAAACCAGCACGAGCCTCACGCCTGTCTGCTGCGTCCCCGCGGCCCTTGGGCCGCGATGGAGCCCTGCGCATGCGGTGGGCTGTGTTCTGCGAGAGAAACGTTGGGTCATTTTAAGCATTTCTCTAAGTCAAGAAAAAGTCAAACAATAGAGAAATGAGCAAGGAACACAAGCATCTAGCCACAGAGAGAGAAAGAAAACTAACTGTGGAACGATGTCAGACATCAGTCATACATTAAATGCACACTAAGACTACAAGAAAGTCATTGTGTCACCCAATTTTGCATCTTTTTTTTTAATTTTTGTGGGTGTTGTGTTAGGGTGGTCAGATAGATATTCTCATATACTACGTTTGGAAGAACAATTTGGCAAAAACCGTTATACTCTTTCACCTTGTAATTTTACCTGTAAAAACCCGTTATGCTGAAATATTTTGTAAATCTCTATAATGATTTTTTTTTGAGCTACTTTTATTGCAAGAGGGAGCAAGTCTCCTGCTTGTCAGGGGTGGGGTGGGGGAGCAGTTACCTCATCCCTAAAGGTTGCTTGCGGAAAACACAACTCTGAGAAATTGCTCAGGTAAAGAGCAATGATAAATTTGGAGGTCATCCGTGTGTCTGTAGATGGCGCTCACAGCCACGTGACTGGACTAGATCCCTAAGTCAGGGAGTGAAGGCAGAGAAGGGATCCAGGGATGAAGCTCTGGAACAAGATGACACTTGGGGGTTGGAGAGAAGCCCCGCCTCCTGCAAAAGAGACTGAAAAGGACTGACTCAAGACCTATACAAGAAAGAGATACAAGACAGGGAGAGCGATCAGCCTCCCCAAAGGACTGTGCGAGGCCGAGGGCAAGGAGCACCGTGTTACTGACCACTGGGCTGAGCAAAGCGGAGGAAACGGGTGACCCTGATGGGAGTTGTTTTGATGCAGGGTGGGGCAAAAATCTGATCAGAGTGGGTCCAAGAGAAAAATAGGAGGTGAATAACTGTTTCAGGGAAGGGCATAGCTCAGTGGCAGAGCATGTGCTCAGCCTGCACGAAGTCCTGGGTTCAATCCCCAGGGCCTCCATTAAAAAAAATAATTATATAAATAAACCTAATTACCTCCTCCGCATCCTCCTCCCCTAAAAAACGACAAAACAAAAAACCCAGAACTGTTTCCAGGAGTTTTGCCTAAACGGGGCGTAGGGAAAGAAACAGAATCTGGAGAAAGATGAGGTTTTTTTGTGTACTTGGTTTTGTTTTTAAAAGTGGGCATGACTACAACACTTTTGTTTTCTGATGTGAATAAACTCTTTCTTAAAACATGATTTGCATTCGCATTCTGGGGCAATGGAGAACAGACGTCATCCTCCCCTCCCCGGCACACAGACGCGTGTTGTCTGCTTCCAAGCCCTCAATTATCCTGCCTCAGCCTGGCTTTCAAGACTTTTCTCACTCCTGTCTGCTGTGAGCCTGCGTTCCCGCTCCCTGGGCACACCCCATTCTCTGCCTGCCCACGACCCCCTAACCTGTTCTCACATCTCTGTTTGCACAAACCCTCGCATCGTTTCAGCCCTGTTGTTGAGGTCACTTGCTCCGACCTCCCCCGTGGCTGCGCCTCTCGTCTGAACTGTCTCCACACCGTGTTGCTCTCGCTCTAATGGCAGTTCCCAGGACTGCCTGTATGTGCGCTGGTTATCTTTCCAGTAGATCCTGGAGAGCAGGACCCTCCTGAGAGAGCTGACGGAGTGGCCACATCCTCTGAGATCCTGCCCTGGTCCCTGCGCCTTCCCTGACTTTGGTCCAGCCTCTCATTCCACGAGGAAGACACGGCTCACATCCCTCTGCCTGCCTGTCTCCACCGCCAGGCTCTTTCAAGGTGAGAACTTTTTCTCAGTGCCACTTTGCATTCCTGCCACAGCACCCGGTACAAGGAAGGTACTCATTAAATGCTTTTGAGTGAATAAATGATGAGAAGCATGGTATTCCAAAGCAAAGCGAGGCAGGGAAACCAGTCTGGCTGAAACACAGTGGGTGAATATCAGAATTCCAACACGGTAGCAATGCAGAAACGCCCACACGGTCCCTGTGCCCCTCAGCCAGCTCTGCTCACGTGCTGCAGCAGCCCTTGACTCGGTAAGTTCCATAGATTTTTGCTGCTTTGCTTTGACACCGCCTGGATCGCATAACAAACATGAGAACAAGACAATGACTGTCCCCTCTTAGACGGATGGATGAAACAAACATGCAGAAAGAAAGGGATACTGGGACACGAGGCTCTTGTCACTTATGAGTTAACTGTTGGCTGATTCTGTATGAAATCAAACTTTTGAAGTACATTAAAAATAGCTACAGGAGTTCCCGAATACTTGCTGCTGCCTTCGCTGAGGAGAGGAGAATCAACGTGATGGGATAATCATTTTCCAGCCACTTGATTGAAGGGATACAGTGGTTTTTTTAAGGAACGGTAGTGCTCCAGCCCTCGCAGCAAGTCCAAATGCAGCCTGCCGTCTTGCACGTCAGGATGACAGACAGCAGACTGTCCAGATGTGCGACACATGGTTGCTAATTTGGGAATCTTCTGGTTCCCTCTACTAGGAGGGGTCAGGGGTCAGCTCTGTGCTGTGGCTCACCCCCAGTTCTGGGCTGGGTGGTGGGCAGATCCTTCCTTTGCAGGGAGACATTAAAACAACTCCGAGACTGAAGAACAGGCAGCAGGTGGACCGTCTCATCGCACAGTGCTGTGTGGACACATTTCTTTCTCTGTGGCTCCCAGGGGGGCCTTTTCATGCAACTGTCACCCACACCCATCTGTTTCCTCCCGTGTGCCCGGCAGAACAGAAGCCTAGGGTCTCAGGATCCTCGGGGGAGGAGGTCCGAGGAGAGACTGGCTTCTTATGTATTTGGATCACTCTGGGGACAGTGTCCTCGTAATCCGAGTAATTCCTCACCTATTTGTTTTTTAATCAAGCTGCTCCTACTTCTTCAGGAATCCAGAATTAGAGTTATGTCTGTTTACGGAAGGCGTCCTTC